CATGGGTCATGAAAACAAGGTGTAGTTTTGAGTGGAAGGACAGAAAATGTTGTTGTATGATCCAATCTGAATATAATGAGACGACATTTGTGATTTCGGAAGAACCAATTATTGATGAAGATAAAAAGAAATGCAACAATAGAAAAGATAATGGCGCTGCAAACATAAGGTGTGTAGTGCATGTGTTGGAAGATAAAGAGGCTGAGTTTAATAAAAGAAGGGGTGAAGCTGCAAATGGTAGAATGGACGAAAGTAAAATTGAAAATGAAAAGGATAAACAGAATGCATTTGTTCGATATCAAAGCCTTGGGAAAATGAGTTGTGGTAGTAAAACACATGATTAGAAATATGATTATAAGAATAAATGATACATTGGGTTAGGAGGTGTGTCTGTGAACTAGCCAAGAACAATGCGAACATTGAATGGTATATTAAAAGCTAGAGGTTATGTAGACAATCTGATAAGGTTATATAATTTGAGATACCAAAGAACCAATAATGTGCATTTAAAGTTTGGGAGTTCAACATTATGAAGTGCATGTATTCAGAAACAGTATAAAAGCATAGAAGCTGGAGTGTGGAGTACTCAAATTTTTATGGTGATAGAGAGTATGAGAAAGGTACTAGTTAGAGTAAGAGGAATGTTGCATATGGTGGCGGAGTGAAGGATCCAGTAATACGAAACAGGGTAAAGAAATTGTTTACCTGGGAAGAAGAATCATCAAAGCAAAGAGAAAATGAAATGGTCGAAGATGGCCTGGCCCTCAAGAACGAGGACCAATGGGGTCCAGCTCATGTCGCATAGTTTCCAAAGAGCCCTTATATCTAGAAAAAGGTATACAAATGGATAATGAGTATATAGTGGATGGGTAGAACGAAAGTGTCAACCGAACGGCTCATGTGATCATGTGATTGATTGGAGTCATGGAGAGAATCGAGATGCGGGTGGCACATGTAAGATCAGGTACAATAGGTACCATAATCAATATGCGCATGAATATGATGATTAATTGAAGAACAATAAGAAAGTTTAATTAATTAATACAAAGAAATAGTTAAACTGTAATACAAAGTATGTAATTGATTGAATCACTTAAATAGTGAAATGTAAATAAAGAATTCAACAGTCTTTCGACTGGAATAATTAAGCAATAAACGAATAGTTAAAGTAAATACCTGCGTGTGAAATAGTGTGCTGTGTGTCGAAGTTTAAGAAGGTGTGTCTCTAGTACCAAGCAAGACCATAATATTAATAAACTGTCTGGGGTAGATAGCAGTCACTATGGTGATTGCCTAACTCTTTGACATTGAGTCTCTACTTCAAACATACAATGCATTGCATTTCCTAGTATATATTATAGATAGTTTTAAATTCAGATAAATAAATATCAGATATACTATAGCTTATTCTAACTACAAATAATAATTTTTTTGCTTGAATTCTATCAAAATCAGAAAATCAAATATTCTAAAAATCAATCCTATGCCCTTTCAATTTTGTGACAAGATAGCTATCAAGATGATTAATTAACAAAAAAAGATAGGCTTAACTTTTTTTATCATGATAATATACTGGTTAAACTACTTTTCACTAATTAATACTCAAATTCTGTCTATAATTTATGTGCTTGAAAGAAGCTTAAATCATATGAATAATAATTAACTTATATTAACTGATATTGTTTAATTGATTAAATATGTAAGAAAATACTTATATGGATCTCCTTTAGTATAGGTGACCAATATAGAAATATTATAAGATTATAATATAAAAAAACTCTAACCCTAACCCTAGAGCTAACTATAAACAATGCTATAACCTTTACCCTAACTCTAACTAATCTCAAATTTGCTTAAATTAGTTCAAATACTATGTTTATATATTATAATCTTATAATATTTCT